GGGTATTAAAGAGGGCACATTCTGCGTGGAGCACTGGGTGTTATGCACAAACAATGAATCATGGAACACTACATCAAAAACTAATGATGGAAAGTATGTGATTAACATAACAATAAAAAATTTAAAGAAAAAAACCACGTCTGCAAATTCTTTTATGCTCCTTGAATTAAGAGATGTGGTCTATGTTCTCTAACTTTGCACCTGGGAGCCTTAAACCATTATGTAAAATATCCATATCCAGCTATGTAGAGGGACCACTGGAGAGATGGGGGTGGAGGGAGAGAAGGTGCCATCTGATCCAACCCTCAGCTGTTTAAGACCTTCCAGCTCAGACACCTGACATTGAGTGAAGGCCTTGAGATGACCCCAGTCCCAGCCATCATCCAACTGCAAAGATGTAAAAAACAAACAAACAAAAAAACCCTGAGCAAGAACTGCTTGGCTTAGGCCAATCAAGTCCCATATCCAAAAGCAAAGTCAATGATTGCTATTGCTTTAAGTCACTGTTTTCAGATGGGTTGTTACACAGCAATTGATTACTAGAATAGACACTATAATTTTAGGTATTATTCTAAGAACACTGAAGCCTATTTTTCCGCTAATGTTCTATTACTGTATTCTTCTTTGGGTTTTAGAAAAACCAGCAGGATTTAAAGCGGTAAAGAATTGTTTTAGTTCATTGTAAAGCCTAGCCAAAATTTTATTGCCTTTTTCTGGAACCTGGTGTCCTAGACATGTTATCTGAAAGGAAAACTGGGGAAATCCCTTACATCTCTTTGATTTGGTAATCCTACTTCCTTTCTTTTTCTACATAAGGCGTTTCATTTCAAAAAAGCAGAACCCTTAGTAAGAGTCATAGGTCACATACTGCCTGGGCATAGCCCCCGCCTCACACACCAGCCCTGAATTCGGATGGAAGGCAGGCCAACATCAATCATGCCTTCTCTCTCATTTCCTAACATCTTCCCCAGGGCAGGGTAATGGCTCAGCAGATGTACCATTCCACCCTGTGATTCATTCAGAACAAAGTCCTGCCTATCACCCACTCACTTTCTTTCTATTCCTGTCTGCTCCTATAAAAGGCAGGCAGAACCACCAGAGGAGCAGAGAGGCTGAGACCAACACAGAAACCTCCAGCTCTCACACCCAGTCTCCCTGCTCCCCGCCGACATGAAGGTCTCCGCAGTGCTTCTGTACCTGCTGCTCACAGCCGCCACCTTCAGCCCCCAGGTGCTCGCCCAGCCAGGTAAGTCCCTCTCTCTCTCCCTTCGAAGCCCATCACCACATCTCTGGGTTCTCATGGGCCACCAGGGCAGGAGGATGACCCACACTCTCCCATTTGTGACTGCTTTCCAAGATCAGGAAAGTCAGAGAAGGACAAGGAGTGAAACTGATCACACGGTTGCTCCCGGGAATTCCAGCTGTGGACCCCAAATCCAGTCCTTCCAGGACTCCAGCTCTACAGTCATCCCCTCAGTACAGTTACTGCCCCTGCTCCTTGTAGCAGTGTTTGGGGGGACTGGGGTGATCCAAAAGAGGGGGCCTCTGGCAGAGGGTGTGCAGGGCATTTCCAGATGTGGTGGAAGGGAAAGGAGGAGACCCAGAATCTGGATGGTGCTTCATTCAGTCCAGCATCCAGAGACAGGGCTCCGCAGAGGAAGCGCAGGGATCAGGGAAACTCACGACCAGGCATAGATTGCTCAGAGCCTAGAGGGGGACCCATAGCTGCAGTCCTGCTGCCTGAGGAATTGGACTATTCTATGAGCCCCTCCTAACAACACCCAGAGCTGTCCCCAGTTCCTCTTCTCCTCTCAGTTAGCAGTGGTATCCTTCCAATTTACAGTCCGTACCAGTGAGACTGAGAGTTTCAGGACGGAGACGCAGGACTTAGGGTGGGCAGCTTCCCTTTCCTTTGACTCTCCTCCTTACCGTTCCCTAACTTATAAATAGAAAGTCCCAGCACGCACCCTAAATAGCCTTTGTTGTTGTTGTTGTTTTGACAGACGGGATTAATATCTCAACCACCTGCTGCTATAGATTTACCACTAAGAAGATCCCTATCCGGAAGCTGAAGAGCTACAGAAGAATCACCAGCAGCTATTGTCCCCGGGAAGCTGTGATGTGGGTGACGCCATGACCACCCGCACTCAAACCTTGATCCTGAGTTCCGCTCCCAGGCAGTGGATAGGGTTATTATAAGACTTCAGTTGGAATTTAACCCCCAGATGCTTAGACCAGCTCTAATCCAATCCCAGAAATTTTTTTATGGGAAAAGTGAATTCGAGAAAATAGAGACTTCCCAGTCTCAACTCCCTGTCCAGGTGTTGGTTCAGATGTCAGTTCCTTCATCCAGGAGACAAGATGGTTTCTTTCACCAGGGCCAGCAAATGTAGCTGCTTCCCCTGAGGCTCCTTCCATCCTCCTCCATCACCCCAGGCTAATGGGTCAGGCAGGTTTCCCATAGAGTGGGTCACACTCCCAGGTTGACTCTTCAGTGTACTCTAACTGCCTTCTCTTCCCACAGCTTCAAGACCAAACTGGCCAAGAAGGTCTGTGCTGACCCCAAGCAGAAGTGGGTCCAGGATCTCGTGGAGTACCTGGAAAAGAAAACCCAAACCCAAAGCTGTGAACACTCATGCCCATAATGAAGCCAAGCCAGTACTCAGGAAACAACTTATATTCCCTATCCTTTCCAACATACCTTCTGAGATTATTCTATTACAATTCTAGGGCATATGAGATTTGTGTAATAATGTGAATCATAGTTTTCTTAACACTCTGGCGGAGGGTGTGTTAATAATTTAATGTGCTCTGGAATTGGATGTGTTTTAAATGTACACCCTTGGACATATCACATCACTTCAACCCCCTAAAAACTGCAGGACACTCCCTTCCTCTCTACCTCACTGTGGTATTGTGAAGATACTTGCATGAATCCACACAAATATGCATATATTGAATTTTTAAGAGGGGATGTCCCTATGAAACCATAATATTATTATAGAACTGAATATTTTTATATGTACAGCTCTTGAATTTTCACATAAAATATATTTTTGGAAAAACTTGACTTTGATGGCTTTTTAAAGGACAAGATAAAGCTGGTGGGAGTACCAGGGAGAGGAGAGCTGGTTTCAGAAGGTGGGGCTTGTGTTCCAGGGGAGTGGGCATATGATGGACTCCGGGCTTGCCCGCAGGCTGGGCTCACCTGCATGGCAAGGAGAGTCAGGTTGGCTGGGGCCAGGTTTAGCAAGCTCTGCAGCTCTAGCTGACATCAGCTTCAGCCATTTGTTCAAATACCTTCTTTCTTTCCAAAATCATTTCCTTTCTCACCATCCCATGCCCTACCCAACAGCCTCTCCCCTCAGCTGTTGCATCAGTCTTACAGCTGGCTGGTTTTCTTTCTTCTAACCCTTGAATCCAGAATAATACAAGTATCACCTGCATTGAGGAACCAGGGAGGGAATCAACAGATGACCTCAGAGGTTCCCTTCCACATCTGGGAACCACATGTTTTAAAGATTTCTATCTCTATAGGTTGAGGAAGAGCAAGGAGGGTAGGAGGAGGGTGTGAAGGGTATGAGCAAGGAGGGTAGGACAAGGCAGCATACTGACAAACTCTTGATAACCTCAAGTTGAGCTTCTTGGAGAGAGAGGGTTGCATCAAAACTCCCATAGACATTTCAAGGTGTCAGGAGAATTAATACACTTTGATGGCAAGCAGACAATTCATTGGTGACTCGTGGGTGCTCAGACCATTACGGATGCTCAGGCCAGGTCCAACAGACCTTTCTGCGCCACCCCCCTCCAGCCCGATAGTCCTCATCCCCAAACATCAGTAAGGAGCGTAATCTTAAATGCCAGTGGGGAACTACAGTAGGCTGACCAAGCATAGACAGGAAATAGATAGATACTATAGTACAATGAAACACAGCTAGCCCTGTGGTGCAGGCAAATATCAAGCAGTGTCAGGTAGTAGGATGGGCAAGAAGAGATGGGTTCCATGTGCCCAGGGCCAAAAAGGATCGGATCACACTCTCTTTGTCAAGCTTATCCTACCATTTCCAAGGAATTCTGAACTCATTTGTCCTCATTGGGCCTGTTTGGACACAGCATTAAAGAGAAATTCCAAACCACAACCAGGAACAGAAGCTGATACATAACTGGGCATGGAGTTTAATGGTACTAAAAATCAGACTGTGTGTACAATTAATATGCCTAGTAAATTAGGGCAAGTTATTTTTCCTGACTGGGCCCCCATCCATGGAGATTTAAGTAGATCAATGGCTCTCATATTGGCATCAGTATCTCTTGGATATTAATAAAAATGTAGATTTCCAAGTACCATCACCAAAGATTCTAATACAGAGGGTTGGGTGGGCAAGGTGCCCCTTCCAACCTTTTAACTAATTCCCAGCCCTGTCTGCAGAAGACTGAAGTGTACACCCTGATGTCCTCTTTCAGATCAGTGCAGTCTCTGGGCTTGACATGCATCTCTGGCTTAGACATGAAGAGTGCCTCTGGTCTGAACTTTCCTACCTCCTAAACTTGGCTGTTGGGCATGCACCAGCCTTAGAATAGCTGAAGTTGTAAATGCCCACCACATGTTCATGTGTTCTTCTGCATTTTCCAGCCTACATTGCATTTATTTAGGGCCATGTGACTGGATTCTAACCAACTGGGTGAGGACCAAAATGATGTAAGCCACTTCCCCATAAACAGCTCATACTTCTGGGCTTCTCGTCCTCTGTCATGCTGACCTGGGAGGCAACATACTCCAAAAATCTAAGCCTTCAGATGGAGGCAGCCCATGTCCTTAAGCCACTAGAGGAGAGCCGCTTGGCCCCTGCTCTGTGACAGGCTAAAGAAATAATCCTTTGTTAGGTTAAGCCACTGAAGTTGGGAGCCTAGTTTAACCCCAATTAATAGAGGAATTGGTACCGTGATCGTGTGTTGCCAGTAGAAACCTAAAATGTGTAGCATTGACTTGACATTTGGCAGCAGGCAGTGAGGAAACTACCTCAGGTTGAAATGATGGAGAATCTTGTTACAAAGTGTCAAAGCTTTTGGGTCCTCCCGGATGAAATTATAGCTCCAAGGAGAGAGTTTTTAAAATATGCATTAGTAATACATTGGTTGGTTTTGTCTGCATTGGTCAGGATATTGAGAGAAAGAGATGAACTCGGGAAAGCACTGACTCACTTTAACCTAAAAATGAAATGGAATAAAGTCCACAAATTCAGAATCTTACATTGTTGAAAAAGTCATCTATTTGTACGTCCCAAACATTAAGAGAAGGTTTAATTTAAGGGGAAAAAAGTAAAAAGAGTTCAGTAATAAAAATCCAGGCAAAAACACACACACACACAAAAAAAACCTCTTGAGTTGGACGAAGTGACTTAGGGCAAAAATCAGATTGAAGTTGTCACCTCGTATTTCAAGCCTCATTAAGAGGAATGGGGAGAGAGGAAAAGGCAGAAAAATAATTTGAGAAGTATACCTAGAAAGCAACGGGCTGTGGCTACTGACATATGGAATTGGCTGGGTGGAAAGAGATCAGAAGCCTGCTAAGTTCTCAAGAGAGCTAGACTCTAGTGCCAATAAAATCATGAATGAGCCTGCACTGAAAACAAGAAGCCATTGACCATTCAAAATGAAAACAAACTTCAAGCTCTATAGTGTAGCAAATCATCTTCCAAGGCTGCAGAGCCCTGGAGGAGAATATCCCCCTTCCAAACCCACCTCAGAGGTGGCCAAGGGAAATAATGTAGAAGGAAGGACCTCACAAAAGCAATCAGGAGCCAAGATCAAAAAGACAAAGTGCTTCCCCAGATTGCAGAATCAAGCCTAACCAAGGGTGAGGGACTTATACAACATCTGCCTCAAGGACTGCAGGATCGCTAAAGAGCATTGGCCCACTGGTGCGCCATCTTCCCCTCCACGAATGAAGGTGTTGGTTGCAAGCAACTGTCCTCTTCAAACTTGAAATATTATGTCAGGGTCAAATAACTGGTCTTTTAGTTCAGAGGTCACTGGACTAAGTAGATCCATGCCCTCACCTGACAGAGAGGACCACTTACTATCCAGAGATCCCAGACATTTAGTTTGATGTAATGACTTTATAGGACTTTGGGTTGGTCTCTCTTGGGGATTGGTTGATTGCGTTAACCTATATGGAGAAGCATTGAGCAAGGGACAGACTGCATAGAAGCTATTAGCATTTACCAAGTCTTCCTGTGTTTCTCAGCCTTCTTTACACTTGGAGTCATATGATGATGTAGGGCCACAAGATGGAGACACATGTGGTAGAAGCTGCTTCCATGCCTGGTTCTTTAAAGCCCCCTATACAATCTATCAACCCTCTCTCCCTTGCCTTGGTGAACTTGGGGGCCACATGTTCCAGATGCTGGCTATGATTTACAAGCAGCTGGATCGCTGAGTCACTCCTCAGAAAAGAGTGCCTTGGGCAAGCTGCGTGACCAATATCAGGCTGTGACATGAACAACAAAGAAATACCTGTCACAGTGAGCTGCTGAGATTTCTGTGCTTGTCATGGAAGCATAGGCTAGGGTTACTTTGACCAATTGATGCCGGGAATTACTTTCACCATCTGTCCCCATTTTCATCGTCATACAAAGGACTAAAGTTGGTAGCCCCAAGAGGATTATACAAGATAATGTAACAACCAGTAAGAATATTTTAAACAAAAGAGCTTTTTTCTTCTCAGGGCAACTCTGAGAAGCAAGCTTTACTTTTATAAATGACTTCATGAAAGAGGAAGCTGCTTACCTTCCCTAAGCCTCTGTTGTCTTGTTTTTAAAATGAACTTAATTAGCATACCTACTTTGTAGGTTTGTTGGGATGATTAAATAAGTGAACCCACAGGAAATGAAGCAATATAGTGCTTGCATACATTGAGTAAGCTGGCGTTACTACTGAGAACTTGCTATTTGTTAGATACATTGTTAGCATTTTTATGCTAACATATATTTGGGGTAATCTTCCTCCAAAAGTAACAAGATACTGTAGACATGGTCTCAGTGACCCTTGAGAGAGAGAGGTAGCACACACTACTTGGTTCTGTTTTGCACAAGGGAAAGGGGTGTCCAGGGGCTACATGTGGTAAAGGTTTCACAAGATGGGGAATCCTGAGACAGAGGTTCTAGAATCAGGCTCAGCCTAAAACGCACCATGTTGCCTTAGGGATTTTGTCACTGGTCTCCAAGTCTCTATTTTTTTTTTTTAAGATAGGGCTGGGGGGCACCCGGGTGTCTCAGTCGGTTGAGTGCCCCACTCTTGGTTTCAACTCAGGTTGGGATCTCAGAGTCCTGGGACCAAGCTCCACATCTGGCTCCATGCTCAATGCAGAGTCTGTTTGAGATTCTCTCTCTCCCTCTCCCTGTGCTCTTCCCTCTGCTCTCTCTCTCTCTCTAAAAATAAATAAAATCTTTAAAAAAATAGATAGGGTTAGAATAAAGTTAATATTAATGTCTCTTTCAATTCTGTGTATAACTTTGCATTATTAGAGGAAATCTAGAACACAGCTGTAAACAAACAAACAAACCCCAGAGTCTTGATTCCTGGGATCCTTTTCCACTGATCATTCATCCTTCCTTGGAAAACAC